CCTTAATCTAAGAACAAATGCATTTATTTTAAGAAAAAATTACTTATCTAGATTTTGATTTTTTCCAGTGTAGCCTAGTAAAGTAGCCCCACCCACCAGCGGCTAAAATCATTTTTTCCTGTGAGTGGTCTAGCCTTGATCAATGCCTCGGGCCCTAGAACTGGCGGGCCAATCACAACGCAGAGATGTGTTTTGACTTTCTGGATGTAAAGTGGGCGGGGTTTTGAGGGCGTGTTGTGCTTTCTCCAGCCCGACGCTGGAAAAAGCACAACAAGGAAGAAAGAAACAACTACTGAAAAGTTCTTGTTTGACTCAGCTTTGGAATCAGTTCTGGAAAGATTAGACTCAGGATTTTCGTTGAAACGTGAGCAGGAAGAGGCTCTACGTTCATTCATTTTTAAGAAGAACGTATTCGCCCTTTTACCGACAGGCTGTTTGTTTACTCTCCCCCACCAGCTTCCTGTCAGGCTTCCTACGTCAGAGTCAGTTGCGCTCATTGGTCAGAGCGTTGGTCAATAGGCAAAGTCCTGGTTTGAAAAACAACGGGTTGTTCTCATCAACAATCTTCCGATGTCTCATTCATCGGGGCCAGACTAAATTACACATTTAATCTCACATCTCACCAGAATAATAAAAGCCAACATATTCTGCCGGCAGGTTTCTACATTTTAAGTTAATTTAGGCGTTAATAAACTGTTTCAGAGGAATGATTATAGCGCTCTGCATCAGCACTCCAGCAGCTGTTGCTTCTGAAGCACGCTGCATGAAGCTTATGATGCGCTGCAGGACCTTTTGCTGCACGTCGATGCACCTCAACCTTTGACTTTGCATGTAAACTAGCTGCTTCTGCGGCTTTTGGTCTGAACGTAGCATTAGCTGACTTGTTATCGCTGTTTTCCAGACCAGTAACCACCTTCTGGGGCCGAAGCCTTTCCCTCTGGACCGCCTCCTCGCCATCTTCTACAGCGTGGTGGACAGCAGAGTCGCTCCCACTGCCAGCATCTTCTCCCAGGTCTGAACAATTACACTTTAACTCTGTTCGTGATTCTGATTCTTTATTGAATCTCTGTTAGCATTGCAATGGCCGATCGCTGATATAAAACCAGGTCTGAAAATCAGCTGTCAGTCCTCTAAACCTTTCATCTATATATTTATGTAACTAATAAAGTTTTCTAGTGAAGAAATAGGGGGTCCCTATGTCCTCCAGCAGTCTAAGCCTATAGCAGCATAACTATAGCGATAGCTCAGGATAACCTGAGCCACTTTAATCTAAGAATTCTGACTTTTTTCTCAGATTCATCGAAAAAATAATTGACAGATCAATCGATAAGCAAAATAACTGTTAGTTGATGTCCTAGTCGTGACCATTACACATAAAACCAATCGATTTTAGAAATTATTTAATATAAAAAAATTCCTGTCTTTAGTTTTGTTCTACAGGGTTTCCGCGGGTCATTAAAAGTCATTAAAGTTCATTAAATATGATTATCGTGGCATTTAAAATGCTTTATTTAAAAAATTATTAATAAAAACAGCTTCGTCAGATATGTTATATTGCAATATATTTGCGTGGAACTGCAACCGGTTGGTCGTAAAACTGTCTGTCGTCTGTCCGGAAAAGAAGCTCGAGGCAGAGAAAAAGCTAGAGAATGGGGAAAATACAAAGTTTAAATAAAGTGGCTGGAAAGCGAGGAATTGCAGCCTGTCGACGGTAAAGATTATAAAGGATTTTTCCGTGTATATATGAGTCATGGGTACTTAAAATAATTTTTAAGAGCATTAAAAAGCCTTACTCCTTCCTGTATAAACCCTGTTGTAACTTTTATTGAATTTCCTGTATGAGCCGTTTGTGGATCATAATGGAGAAGATGAATCAGTTCATGTGAGTCTTTTTTAATCTCTGCTTAGATCTCGTCTCTAGTGACTCTGCAGCTGCTGACTCTGGTCAGCCACGACGATCAGCTCGACACACCCAAGTACAAATGTGCCGTTTCTCTGGATTTTATTTCTGCCATATCCAGGTGAGTGTGCCGCTGCTCCTGTCTTATCATCTAACAGCTGCGGCTGCGAGTTATTCAACGTAGCTTACCTTTACAGAGTCTTATGTGCTGTGGTTTATTTTCCAGGACGGTGAACTTTGATATTGTGAAGTATCTGTATGATTTCCTGTGAGGCTGCGGAGCGTGAAGGAGAGATGACGCCACGGCGACGGGGAGATAAAGATTTATTTCTGCTGGAAAACCCTGCAGGAGAAGATGGCTTAGTGTGAAAAATCTTCTTAACATGTCGCTGCCACCTTGTGGCAAACAGTTGACATTATTATTATTATGAATGTATTTTTTTGATGTTTGTTAAATTTGCATTTAAACAAAATAAAAATTATGCTGCCAGAATTTTAATTTCTTTATACTTATTTAAAGATCAGATATTTTTACCGTATTTCTAAGATCTCTCCAAAATTAACCGTGTTGTGCTTTAATGTCACATGCTTCCTGGAGATAAAAATAACCTGGTAGATGGTCAAAAGGTGAAAGAAATGCTAATTAATATGCCTGACCAGCTGATCTGAATCATAGGCGGCGTTCCTGACGTGAAGCGATCCTGACAGCGTCCAGGAGAGCCTCCAACCTCGCTTCATACCGTTCTTTTAAATTTAATTTTACGTTCCAAATGGTCATGTTGACTCAAACGCTGTGAATTATTGTCTTTTTATCTCCACTAACCTCCAGTAAAAGTTGTTTTTCTTTGCTTACAGCATCATAGGGATTTTATATAGTCATTTTAAATTTGCAGTGGAGGTTACCTTATTTATACAGAAATATAAATACATATTTTTTAATTCTATCAGAACCATGCACATTTTAACTCTCATTGATTACTGCTAGCATTTATAGAATGAAGGAAAAAAACTTTTTTTGCGACTTCCATCTCAGAATATTACCAAGGAAGAGGATTGGGGCCACTGGAAACAAATAAAGTCAACAGATTTTTATTTTGTTTATGTTTATCATGGAGGAAAAAAGTCTACATTCTGACTTTAAACTCAGCATTCTGAGTTAATTTTAGTTTAATATAGGGGAAATTTCAGAATTCTGAACTTAAAATCAATTTGAATTCTGGAATAAAAGTCAGAATTCTGAGATTAAAGTCAGAATCCGGATTTTTCTCCCACATTAAAATCAAGTGAAATTAAAGAATGTTAACTTTTTTTTTTTTTCCAGTGGTCCTACTCATCCTCCTCCCGTATATTACAGAGGTCAGTGATCCTGGTCCTCAGGAGACACTGATCTGGATGTTGACTCTGCTTCAATACACCTGAATGAATTCTTATTTCCCTACTTTAGTTCAATCAAATTCTGCAGTATTCTGTTGATTGCTAATTTATATTTATTAGGCATGCGGAGAAAGGGAAAACATCTAGAGCGGAGGTCTTCAACAGGGGGTTCGCGACCCCTAGGGGGTCATGGGAGTTACTGCGTGGGGGTCACAAGTTTTGGTTGAGTTGACTTTTTTATATTCCCCCCTGCAATTTTTCACACTAATTGAAATGTCTTTAAATAGACAACAGTAAACAGATAAATGGAGGCAGATGTCTTTCAGTCATCAATGCTCACATTCAGCGACACACAGGAGCTCTTTCAAGCTGGGCACCGTTTCATTCACAACACCTGTCCCATCAACCAGGAATCAGAAATACTTTAATAATCCCAGGGAGAAATTACATGACTCCATCTGTAATAGAGCGACACAATTTCATACAATATAAATAAAATTAGGGGGTCCCCACTCCATCTCGCCATCAGTTTGGATTGAAGACGTTGGTGAAGATTCTCAGTTATCCAGGTCATTGTCATTCCAAAAAAAAAAAAGCAATCCACAGGTCTTTGTTTCCACGTTTCTCTTCCCATCCAGGAAGCCTTTTCAATTCAAAATGTCAGAATTATCGTTGAGTTGAGGCTTTATATAGTAGCCCAACAGCTTTGTTGGCTTGGCTGCCCAGGCGGGATGTTTTGTCCCCTGCATGGAGGTGCGGGTTTGCAAACCAGGTTCTTCTGGTTTAATTTTCATGTTTTCTAAGCCAAAACAAGTTTTTGGGCTACTATAAAAAGCCTTGAGCTCAACGCTATTTCTGACATTTTTCAGTTGAAAAAGCTTCCTGGATGGGAGGGGAAACGCTTTTTAATTCGGAAACCAAGTTTAGGATTGAAGACAGAAAACTTTAAGTTCCTACAGTCACAGAACACTGCCAGTAAAGGTGAAATACTTAATTGGTCTAAATGACAAATTGGTGACAGTTTCATTTGTCAACACATATCATCATAAGAAGGTGGTTTAGTATTACACTATAAAAACTGATCAAACACTCTTAAATTTAGTGTACTTGCCCTTTATTTGAACAAGTGACCAAGATGATCAGCCAAAGAAAGGAGGATTTTAGCCCTTAAAACAGGATAATTAAGTAATAGTGATCTTGAAGCCAAACTGTATTATCCTGTGTTGATACTGTCTCGCAGAATACTGACACCTGCTGGACATTTAGAGACACTACAGCCAGCTTATTTGACAGACTAAACTGAATTGGTTTAATGACCTACTACAATGATATCATTTAAGTTATTTAGGTTATATTGTATTATTTCATATCTATGTTTAAATTGAAAATATTTTTTCTATTTTTAGATGGAGTCAATAATGCAAACATATAAGGTGAAAATCTAGGGGAAAATGTGAATGAGGATGTTTGTGGACTAGGATTTTAAATCATATATAAAAATAAAAGGTACAGTAAAAACAGTAAATAAACTAAGAGTCAATTTGAAATTAACTCTAATTCAGATAAGTTGAGTGATAACTGACAGGAAACGTTCCTTTTCCTTTTTAGGCTGCTCCAAAATTCTTTATAATTTTAATGATAAACCGCAAAAGATGAGACTTTATTTTTTTAGCAGATGCATCATGTTGGCATACATTTTTAAACACAGTTAAGTGTGTCAGTTAAAAACAACTACGGTATCGGTCACATGACTTTCTTGAAGCGACACCGATACAGGGTTTAGCTCTATGGGCTCCTAGTATGCACCAAAGTCACTATTAGATACTATGCACTTAGAATAATTCATTGTATTCCACCTGCAAATTGTCTTACCTACCTCCTTAAATGAAGATAATATTAACCTGTTTAAAGAAAAAATGACAAACATGTACATTTTATGGTAAATTGTTTTCAATTCAGGGGCCATATTGGAACAGGACCCTGTTAGGCCCCTTCTAGAACCGGCCCTGTCCTCAAATTCCTCTTTAAATGCATTTATTGGAATTTTATTTAATAAATCAAGCTGAGACTAGTTCAGTTTTCAACTTTTATTTATTTTGTGTACATTTTTACAGTCTATTTTTTCCACATACACTGAACCAACAGGGGTTCTATATACATACACTGGATAGATCTGCAACTTGTGCAGGTTGTAATATAGACCTATGCAGATTTCACTCTGGTCATTTGAACTGAACTGAAAAATGCAGAAACATTCAATTTGACACAGAAAGAAAAACAAAATTATTTTTTTCTAATTTTCTTGCAGCTTTAAGATATAAAAAAAATGTATAAATATGTTTTTTTTTCTCAATATATCATCAGACAAAACCTGAAAAGCACTGTTCAGTGCTTCAACTGAAGGCACCAGATGAGCACAACAGAAGCAGATTATTCTGAATCTGTCTCCATGTTGAATATTAAACCAACCCTTCAGTCAAAGAAACACACTCATGCCCTGTTTTTCATTTCCATCCTTAAACACAGAACAATAAAAAAAAGTTCATGATACAGAATCGAGTCCTCCTCTAAACCTTGGAGAGCTCCCCCTTATTAACCCAGGATAAACACTGGAGAAAGCCTGTTTAAAGTGCATGAGTGTCACTCATTCGGAGAATAAACTTAGGATATGTCTGCGTTACGGTGGAGTCAAATTACTGTACAGAAGAGCTTTTCTTTTTTCCCAAGAGGCAGAGTTGTGAGGTAAGATGAGGGACGTGCAGAGCCTAAACACTGTGCCTCCTGTTGTGGATCATAGCCATAATGTGGCGCAGGTCCAAGCTCTTCATCATCACCTCCATGAAGTCTTCATCGCTTCGAGCGCCTTCCACAAACTCCTCCAAAGACAGCTCACCTGTTCAGAGACGCACAGCGTTACAAATTAAGCTTCAAAGTAAGTTTTCTGAATCTTGCAGTAATTATCTATTGAATACTTTAATATTTAAATATCTTCATCTGTTGCAGATGGGTTTTCCTGCTACTGGAGCGACATCTCAGATGTAGCTGGATCCAATCACCTCAATCCTTATCTAGAGGATGTTTAAATGTTCTCTCTATCTAAGAGGGTGTCTTTGCTTCAGCTTGAGCTTTTTAGGTGAGACCTGATGAAAACTATTTATTTATTCTCTCGGATATCTAAACAATCCAAAAGATGATTCTCATTTTTTACTGTTATTCAGAGATGGGAAGTAAGGAAGTACAAATACTTCCTTACTGTACTCAAGTAGATTTTTCTGATATTTTTACTTTACTACTTATTTTTATGCCGACTTTTTCTACTTCTTACAGTTTTACACAAATATCTGTTCTTTCTACTCCTTACATTTTTAAAAATTGGCTCGTTACTTTAGTTTTGAATCATTTCAATGGAGTTACCGTTATTATTTTTCACGTCATCAATACCAAATTCAATCTAATTGGATGGGAATCTACGTTGCATTTGATGCACCACTACAAGATGAATGGACAGATTCGGCGGTATTCATTGGCGGCAAATCATTGCAGCTTGGTGGCGGTGGCGTTAGCATAGTAGTATGGACGACGAGATGATTGAAAATGAACACAACGGAGATCTAGTCCTATTGGCAGACATCCATTTAAAATGTAGGCAACGGCATGAAAAAAGTGGTTTCTACTTTTACTTTTATACTTTAAGTAAATTTACAAGCCTGTACTTTGTTGCTTTTACTTGAGTAAAGAAGTTTAATCAGTACTTCCACTTTTACCAGAGTATTTTTTAACACAAGTATCTGTACTTTTTCTCAAGTATGGAAAGTGAGTACTTTTGCCATTTCTGCTGTTATTCAGGGGACCCTAAGGACTCTGACCATCCAAACCAGGCCAGTACTAAAGGCGACGAGCCAAAACCCGTTTGGCAGAGATTGACATTGATCCTGCTTACTGGCTGACAGCCTGTGATCCAGAAACTGACATGTATGTATGTATGTATATATATATATATATATATATATATATATATATATATATATATATATATATATATATATATATATATATATATATATATATATATATATAGCAGAGGAAAGCCATTGTGGTTGACATAAGTGACCATCAGGAAAAAAAGAACATAAAAAACTAGAGAATTATATATATATATATATATATATATATATATATATATATATATATATATATATAGTTTTTGAAAGTTTTCCTCTGTTTTTTTATATATATATTTATATCTATATATATATATATAAAATAAAGACATATATTTATGTATATATCTTTATTTTATATATATATAGAGATAGATATATTCAGGATATGGACAAGAGACACTTTTATGGCTCATTAAGACAAATAATATGTAAACATGTTGAAATCTTTGTTAAACTGATTTATTTACAGTTTAATTCAAGTTAAAGCTAATTTCTCTTTTCTTTTCTTTTTCTTTTTTATTTTCCTGTCACTCAATGAAACTGTGTTACAGACCTACTTTTCACTCCTGGACTTTGTCTAGATGTTACTGATAAATCATGGCCTGGAGAGGATTTAACTATACTGTAGGTTAATTAATACATATTTAAACTAATCATTGGGAAACTTTTATTTTTTCTGTTTTTGCCTGAACTCTGATTGTTCCTCTTTCTTAATGCCAAACTGGATTTAATGGGATTTGGAAAGTGGAATGGACAGTGAGCATCACCCGCCCACTCACCGTCTCCGTTGACATCAATCCTATCAAAGACTCTGTTGGTGAATTCCTCCGCCGTCGTCTCCTGATTGTCGTTCCCATTGATCGCCCGGATGGCCTGGAGGAGAGGGATTCAAACCAGCAGGTCAGATTCAAACCTAGGAGGAGGTTTAGGGGAACTGGGAGCCAAAGGGCGCGTGACCTCCTTACCTTGATGATGTTGAGGAGTTCGTAGCGGTCGATGCAGCCGTTTCCATCCACGTCGTAGAGTTTGAAGTACCATCGAAGCTTGTGCTCCATCTTTCCCCGCATCACCAGACTCAGGGCCGCCACGTACTCCATGAAGTCTATGTAGCCGTCCTGCAGAGGCAATCAGCGTTTAATCTGTGCCAAAACCTGGGTTATAATCCATAACTAGACTTGCTTCACATTTTAAGTTTTGTTTATTCAAAACCTTTAATGGGTAAAGAAACAGCGTCGGTTCATTGAACCTAAGCCAAAGCAGATTATCTCTGCCCTGTCTGTGTCACAACAATCTAAGCATCGTCTCCGGGATAATCTCTTTGTTCAATCAAGCACACAGATTACAGCAGCCCTTTTGTTGGCTCAAGGAGGAAGTAAATATAGCTTCTGAGACAGAAATCCGCTGACGACCCTGTCCGTCGGACAAAAGAGGCACCCAAATAAAATGATCCTGGAAGAAACATTTGGCTAAAAGCTTGTAGCTCAAATAAAGGCTGCTGCATTCCAGGGGACAAATTATACTGAACCAGTTTTCTGCTTCAGTTGAGTATTTTTAAACAAGTCACAGCAGAAATGTTTCAGTTCATTATGAAACTTTAAGTTTTACAAATAAACAGAATCTGCAGCCTCTGAAATAGTTTGTCTTGTTGTCGTGGTGTTGGTGCGTTCAATGAAATAGATTATAAAAAAAAAAAACTAAAAAAAAACTTCTGCCAACCTGCTTAGAAGAAGGAAAATCTATAAATGATGCAATTTATTGATCAGATATTTAAATAAAACGCAATATTTAGCATATCTATGAAAATAAGTTGATTTTAATCATTAAAAATGATTATTTATCAACCTTTTTTTAATGTGTCTGATGTGATTTTAAAAATGAATGTTACTTGGTTCTTTTTTGTTAAATATTTCTTAGGAACTGTTACATTTATTATAAAAAATAAAAAATAAAACCAGATAATTGTTAATAAAAATAGGGTGCAACTTATCTCTTCAGCCTAACTGAATTATATTAAACCGATATAACAAATTACTTAAAATAGTAACGTTTCCAAACTTGAGATAAATATTAAAATTATGATTTTACTATTTTTTTTCACCTAAAGTATATTTAAAACTTGTGTTGGGTCAGCCAGGCCAGCAGGGGGCCCTAAGCAGCGTCTGTTTTCACTTACATGCAATTTTACCAGACTCTGAATTTATTTAGAAATGTGGAAGCAGTGTTTTATTATTGTGTTTTTAACTCTTATTTATAATCAGTCTCAAATTTTCTGTATTTATTCCTTTCTTTCACATTTATGGTATACTTGTGTTTGAATTTGCATCCAACAATTGATACAATTTTTGTTAATTATTGTTTTGCATCTAAAGGTCTAGTTCTATAAAAAAAACTTTTACATCAAATATTTATCTTAAAGTATAAAACTTTTTTTTTTTTAGACTTAAAAGTAAAAATGGAGTATATAAGTATTTAAATCTAAAATGTAAAAATATAAAGCATTACTGTTAGGGCTGTTTTATTGTTTTATACAGATTTATTTTATCTTTTAAGTGGAAATATTTAAAGGAGTGGAAAACTGACCTTGTTCATGTCGAATGTTCGGAACATCTGCTCTATGTAGGCATTGGCCTCTTGGTCCAATCCTTTCAGCCCGAAGAACTGCTTGAACTCGTGCAGCGTGAGCTGCCCTGATGGACACTCCGTCATGAACTTCTTGTACCACAGGTGCATCTCCACCGCTTGCAGGTCATCCACGGTGCACCCGTTGGAGTTGCCCATTTCTCTAACAGCTGGAGGAGCAAACTGCTGCTGCTACTGCACAGAACTCACTGCCCAATTGGTCTACTGTGAAGCGGATCTTATCCCTGTTCACAGTCACACAACACTGGGACCTTTAGGATGAGGGTGGCACTTGGCAAGATCCTTTTGTAGTTCACCAGATCTCCACGCCCCCCTCATTATTCTCCTTGGCTTTAATCTCTGGCTGTAATCCAGGAAAATGCAGTTGATCAGCTTAATCCCTCCATTAAAAGGGCAGGTTGGCCTTCCCGCGTTTGCCCAGGGATGTGCTGACACGCACAATGCAGGCTTCATGTCTCACATGCAGGTACAGGACACCCAACATGCACCATGGCTGATGAGACATGTTCTTTATGCGGACTGGATTACTAACAGTGCAGAGCCTTATAGAGAACCCTCTGCTCCTCCCACCAGTTATACAAACATACCTGCTTATTATTTAGGCTGATGGGTTAATTTTCCAGTTATAAAAATGAACATTAACCAGCTAACAGTCTACAGTCTAGGATGGAGCGTCTGGATCTTGGGCATGGCGTGTTGTGACCTTCTTGGGAACTTCCTGGGACTTTCTCTTCTAGGAAAATTGGCAGCCATCCATGCTTTCCGTTTCCTCTTCCAAGGGCTTCTCTGAGGGCATTGTTGACGTCTTTCATGTTGGCATCTTGTTAGCACCTCTACGTAAAGGAGTCCGCTGGGGTTTCCTTATACAATGTACATAGTGCCTTAGAAAATTATCCACCTCCCTTTAGATTTCACATGCTGTAACCTCATTGACCTTCACAAGAAAAAATCTAAAATTATGAACTCTTTTTATAAAAGCTATGCAATATAAACCTGAATAGAAATTTATTTATCTATTTTGAAATGTGTTAAAGTTGAATTTAAATTGAATTTCTTTCTTTTTTTAAATTTTTTATTTGTCCTGTATGGCGATGTTGCAATAAGAATAATTGTCTTGATACCAAAAAAAGAGCCCAACAGATTTTGGTTTCACAAGTGGAGCAGTACGGCTATCGCCATAGTGTACCGCTTGATTTATGCACATAAATAGCTTTATTATAACTATGCGGAAGGAAGTAGAACAGGAAAGGAAAAACAGAAAAAGGAGAAAAGATGAAAAGGAGAAAATTATAAAATGTCTTCAGTCTGCTTCAACTCCTGCAAGGAGATGTAAAAAGAACAGCTCAACCAACAGATATAGTATAAGAGATATAATAAAGTAGCACCTTGATGCTATCGCTGAAGTATTATTATTTAATCTGACATGTATACTATAGTAGCTGAAGATAAGAATATGGGCTTTCTGTATGGAATTAAATCTAAGTACCTGGAGCCAAGCACCTGTAGTTGTTTGTGAGAGTGCACCGTGCATTTAAAGTTTATCCAAAGGAAAAATGCTCAAAAGTGGTTGTGAAGAGCCAAAGACCCGCCCCCTCGGAGCACTGAGGAGAGCTCCGGGGGACCCAAAACCCCAGATTCCCAAAGGGATCTCCAGAGAAAAGGCAACCAGGAGGCGCCAACCCAGGAAATCAGCCCGCCGCTAAGGGAGGAGGAGCGACGGCCCCGAGGAAATCCCCCAGCTTTTATCTACTCCATTTTGGTGTACCCCAAGGTTCTGTTTTTGGACTGCTGTGTGTGTGTGTTTCTTTTTATTCCCAGCATTACATTGAGTCAGATAAGCTTTCCAAAAAAGTAAAAAAAAAAAAACAACAAACCTCTGGACTTTGTTTTCCAAGTTTGAAAGCATTTTGTTTCCAGGAAGTTTTCTCAATTCAAAATGTCTGGATGAGCGTTTCAGTTCCAGGCTTATAGAGAGACTATGACCTGGATGACTGGAGGAATCTTCACCAGCATTCAGAAAAGCTTTTTTCTCATGTACTGCTTCATAGAGACGTCTTATCTCTTTTATTTTTTTGTGTTCCTCCATAAATTTTTTAGAATTGATCTTAACTTAACTACCTTATAATAAAGGCAATTAGTTGCTCCGAAATGTTTTATTCCAAAGCAATTGAGTAATCATGCACACTTTTATGCAGGGTGGTGGCAGCATCATGCTGTGGGGACCATTTCATTCAGAAGGCACAGCTACACTGGAAAAACAATATAGAAATTAGTAAAAATGTCTTAAATTAAGTGTTTTTACCCTTAATTTGAGTAGGTAAATGAGATAGTTTCCCAATGGAATGAGTATTTTAAATTCTTAAAATAAGATAATTAGATAATATGCACTTGAAATAAGAAAATGCAATTTATGTTTTCTTATTTTAAGTGTAAATTGTCTTGGTCCATTGGCAAAAATGTGACTTATCTCCTCAATCTAAGAACAAATACATTTATTTGAAGGAAAAAAATGACTTGTGTAGATTTCAATTTCTTCCCGTGTCAAAGCAAATTCTGTTGTTAAACTGGCTCAAAGTCCAGACCTAAATAAACTTAAGCTGTGAAAAGACTTGAAATTGAACGTTTGCGGATGTTTTCCAACAATCGAATCTATTTGAGCTACTTTGTTTCAGAGATTAGGCTGATTGGTAGAGACACCGATAGATGGATAAACAGAATTAAATCAGAAAAGGTTCAAGAATGACGTAAGTTTCTACCTTTAAGATGAAATAAGTCTGTTTCATGGCTGATTAGATTTAATTTAATTTGATGTTTTACTCTAAAATATCCAAACAGTTTGAGCAAAATTTAGAAAGGATAATAAAAATGTTTTTTAAAGGTAATTTGCAGGTTTTTTTTTCCACAGGTAAATGAGATTAAAGAAGATTAGTAAAGACGTTTATTTCAATACAGTCACTCTGATCTCAGCGTCCGTAGCAGGAAATTACAGAAGTTGTTTTCAATAACAAAACATAAGATATCTGTTAATAAACATGTATTCATCACTCATATAAAAATTCCAGATAATTTCTAATGAAATTAGCTTAAAATAGAAGCATAGAAACAAAACTTACACTTAAAAGAAAATGCACAACTTAAACCTTCAGGAATTAAGGTTTAATGGAATCTCAGTTAACGTGGTTTAGAAATTTCTACATTTAAATGTAAAGTTTAGTCAGTTTTAACTGAAAATATATGTTATGAAGGAAAAGAGCGTCAGTTCTTTCTTCTCTTGTAGTGCAAATATATAAGTATGTAATTTTATGAATGTAATATTGTAAATTTAGGAAACTGAGTCGGAAGCATTTCTTGCAAGAAATAATTATTCCCAATAAAAACACTTAAATTAATCAAGGACATAAATTGTAGCCACGGCATGAAGGAGGCTGTGTGAATTTCTCATGACTTTCCTTCCCCCTTGTCTAGAGTAGGGAGCCATCAGCTTTGGTACAGGATTTCTCTATCATTACTTATATTCAAACAGGAACACTCAAAACATTTTATCTCACAAAATAGGCCAAGGAAAAATATAATTCCACAACATTCTTAGCGTTACCCTGTGACACACCTGCATTAGTCAAATCAGCAGGTTGGGGAAAAACTGGAAACAGCACAGCAAGTCCTGTGACATTACTTGATGTGTAACAAATACACAAATATTCATCTTTATAAGTCCTGCTGATTGCTGCTGCTGTTTTGTGGGGTTTTGCCCACATAAAAACACCTAAAGTCATCGGTCCAGACATATGTCCTTGGCAGAGACGGGTCTCCTCTTCCCCCAGTGCAGATGCTGGTAGATGAAGTCAAAAACTGATGCTGTGGTGTGTGCAAACAGGCTGGTCCACTTTAGGGCAGTCACCATCCCCTGCACGAAGCGGCCCACAAACTCCCCAAACTGTGTGGTGTAGTGGGCCAGCAGGAGCAGACTCCTCCCCAGCTGCTTGCCCTGGTTCACAATCAGTTTGACTCTGTGATCCTGTCTCGGAATCATCGCCAGCTCTATATATTACATATATATAATCAGAGTTTATATATTTTCAGACACTCCCTGGTGAGGAAAAAGGTGTGTGTACGCCTTTAAATTTGTAGAGTCTTCCAGATCCCAGCTGGCCAATCAGAGGCGAGAAAGTTTTGTTTCCGGGAGTGTTTGGTGATGTGGCTCTAAAACCCATCCGAGGAATTTAAGACAAATCAAAAGCAGGCGGATTTACTGCAGGAGCTCCATCATCGGTGAGTTAAAGCCGCCTTTTATCAGGGAGCGAGCCGCCGCCGGAGGCGCGCTGCGCGGCTGTCATGCAAAAGAAAAACAGGGAGAAGTCAGTGGAGCTCAGAAAGGCTATCCGTGTTTACCTTTAGCAGCGTTAGCTCCGGGGAGTCTTCCCAGCTAGCTCACTGCAGCGAGGAAAACACAAGTAATTTTACACCATTAATTCCCACTAAGATGTTTCTTCGTCTCCTTTGAACAGCACTTTTTAAAAAAACGCCTCCCTTTAGTTTCAGAAGTTCAACGTCAGCTCGTGCGTTTAGCTAGCTACATTTTTTCTCATCACTATTAAATCCACGCAGCCGCATTGGAGGGTCCGCGAGGCTCGGCTCCGCCCCCGCCCCCCCCGGGATGAAGATAAGGGATTCTCTATCAATGTGTTTCCCTCTGAGATCAAACTCAGGCCGTTTATTTCTCCTCCAGGGGGCGCACTCTTTGCCCCATTAATGCCCAATAATATCTGTTTATTCACTGGATCCACCGGCCGCCATATTGGTACTCCCTAGTTAGACTTGTGGCAATGTAAACAATATGTTCTCATTTTTAGTGGGACTTAAGTCTTTTATAATAAAGATAAATGTATCACTTTGAAATCAGTAGATTACTGTAACTTATAATAATAATAATAATAAAAAAAATCTATTCAGTTTATTTCTTTAGCACCAATTCACAACACTTGTCATCTGAAGGAACTTTCCAGTTCACCAGATCATCTATTCAAATTGATTCAAGGTTTTCCATCAAAGGAAAAACAGCTGATTGCCTCTACTGGAAGGCAATTTCTCATACTAAGCATGCTTGTAGCGACAGTAGAGAGGAAAAACTCCCTTTGAAGAAACAGGGCTACACTAAAAAACAGGCCAAGCTCCAACATCTAGAAACAAAGGTGTTGATGGCAGCAGCACAGCTGATATTTCTCTCCAGGATGGAGTCACAGCCAAACAGGAACAGACCAGATGAAGCTACTATGAGAAAAAGCAGAGAGAGCAGAACGTTAGAGATTGAACTAACAGATTCTGCAGAGTGGAAGAATAGAGATAGAATGAAGCAGAATGATGAAAAAGGGGTCCCTATGTCCTCCAGCAGTCTAAGCCTATAGCAGCAAAAATATACAATCAGAATCAGAATTACTTTATTAATCCTTTGTGGAGAATAATTTGATAATTAGATGGAATGATGAAATAGGGGTCCCTATTAAAACTGAATATCGGACATCGGCCAACCCACCGATATTTAACCCGATATTTTAACAGCTTCTGAGTTTCTAAAGTCTAAAAAAAAAAAAAAAATACTACTTCTTCTTCTTCCTCAAAAACTTCTTTTTTACAGACTTAAAAACTTCTAAAGACGAGGGAAAAAATATTGATCCATTAAAATATCCCAATATCTTCATATGCTGATATATTGCCATTTAAAAACACCATATCAATCTCTTTTACTAATGAAATATTGCTATATGTCATCGTTATGCTACGAAATCCCCCGAAAATTCACCAAATGTTGCCATATTTTTATATGTTGATATATTGACGCGGTATCGATCTATTTTACTAACAAAATCTCACAAGAATTTGCAAAATATCACGAGAGTTTGTAACAGAACGATGAAATTTCACGAGATTTTGAAAGTAAAATAGATCGATACCGCGTTTTTAAAAATCTATTTGATATCAGCATATGAAAATCTATTTGAGTATATTATTTTTCAAAGTGTCAGAAATGGATAACAAAACTGCTATTTTCAATGACTACTTATTTTTGTCCAGCTTTAACATCGGTATCGATATCGGTTATCGGCTACATGAGTTTTAAAATATCGGATATCGGCCAAAATCCCAACATCGTGCATCCCTAGGATAAACTGGTATTGATTATAGGTATGTTGGTCTGACCAGGTATGCTCAACTGACAGATCACCACCTCTAATTTGTTAAAAAAAAAAAATTAATTCCCTTCAAAGAACCAAATTCATCAAAATCATCTGAACCCACAGGCTCTAAATATCTTTCTCCCCAAGATTATCTTATTTTTCTCCAATTCTCCATCCAGTCCTTGTACCACATCATGCGGTTTGTTTATATAGTGCAGGGTGGAATAATGTAAACAAAAAAAGACTATAATTTGTGAGAAATTAAAGAGAAATTCAGCTGTTAAAAGCAGCCAAAAACAAAAAACAAAACATGAAAGACCATTAGATGATTGTCACCTTAAATACTTTCTGTTGCTGTTCAATAAAAAGGTCCATAACCAGAGCTCAGGTCCACAGTTCAGCTGTTGATCTTCGCAGCTCTTCCCTTTCATATAATGATTACCCAATTCTGAAACCAGCTTAACTTGTTTGCTTCTTCCAGCAGTTGGTGCTCGCAGCATAACACACACATACATTTGTTAATTAATAAAATCAATAAGAGTTTGTGTTTCTGATTTTATTTATTTTTTTCTGTCTCCTTCCAGTCCTGACTTGATGTTAAGCCGTCTGGCCAACGTCCTCCAGGAGCTTTCTGGAGAGGAGGGTGCAGATGGAAACCAAGAGGTGATCCATAAGAACACAGCAATTCAGAAAATGGGTCAATAAATAAAAACAAATAAATAAATAAAAACTTCCATTTGATCATTTGAATATGATTTAATATGGAGTCAAATATTCATACTTCATACAGCATGTTCATCTTAATACTGCAGCTCTGCTCATCCAGTCGATTATTACACCCATACAGTTCATTCCTAATGTATTTATAACACTATTTTTTTCCTAAACAACAAATGCAATTATATTTTATTGAGATTTTACGTACAAGTCAACAACAAACAATTTGTTGCACTACCTTTCCTATTTTTTATCTGCTAAATGCAGTTTTTTTAAAAGTTATATTTTTCAGACGTTGCTTTTTGATGTATACAGTCCTTTAAAGTGGCCCAATTTCGCACACAGATCCCCTTTTACTCAAATACTCCTTAATAAAATCAAAAGGAATGTGAGGGACCAAACTTAAATAAGGACAAAAGGTGTTCAAAATTTGAAAAAGTGCTTTCATTTAATTGTGTAAAAATGGTTAACAAAGACTCAAAAGCAACACAAAATAACTTAAATACAGAATCTGGGCCCAACTTAACCGAGGTTAACCGAGGATCCAACTCAAACAAAAAACTGACCTCCAAACAAAGAACTAAAGGCTGTGTAAAAAGGGATGGAGTAACCCAAGTCTACCACATGAGGGAGGCACAACATAACAAAAGAACCAATAAATACAAAATTAACCATTCTATGAAACAAATAAAGCAAAACTAACTTTTACTTAACAGAAACAATAAGTGAGTATTTAAGTGACAAACTATTCGAAAACAACTTGAAACAAGTCTCCCCCGTCAGTCTTTCAAAAAGCAAATGGTACGATCCAGGTTTCCTCCTCCAGCTGGGTTGCATCAGCAGCACCTCAAACAAAAGAACAAGTGTAAATAAACCATTCAGACAGACATTAATTAAAGTGTGCACCCATTAGAAAATACCTGTCTAAAATAAATAACCTACTTAAACAAAAATTGTAATATAATATAAAGCAAGTAAAAAAAATACTAACATGATGTGGTGGTGGGAGGATCATCCACCACAGGAAGCACTAAAAAGGCTCATGGTCTCTAGCTCTTGTCTTCAAGGCCTCCTTCCTGTGTGATTTGGGAGTTTCCCTGTCACCAACCACCTGACTTCTATATACCTGGGATTCATTGACTTTTATAAGTCTTGTTGGCATTCTGAATATTAAATCTAAAACTTGGAGGGTAGTGTGAGCGCTCCATGTTTTAATGGATGCTTATCTGGGAGTTTTGGCTCTGAAATCCTGATTTCTTTTTGGCTTCATGAGAAACATGAATTGGTGATACACGCTGGTGGCGGTATCATGATGTGGGGACGCTCAAACAGACAATATACTATGGATTTTTTTTTCATATCTTAGAAACATTTAAATTCATCATCTTTCTTTTTGTAAGTATAGAAAATTGTAGAGAAAAAAAATCCTTTTAAATGTAATTTTATTTAAAAAATGGAAAATAAATTTTGGCTGTGAACAGGGCATGCTGGTTCCTCAGCTCCCTGCCGGAGAGGGTCCGACTCCGGGGGATGCTGAGGTTCCTGAGGACGCCATGGAGAGGCTGGCCCACCTGGAGCAGCTGGTGGTCCAGCTGAAGGAGCTCATTCGAGACAAAGACACGCAGCTGCTGCAGAAAGAGACTGAGCTGACCAACAAAGATGCTCAGCTTAAGGTGAATAAAATGTTTATATTTTTACCTCCATCTTGTTAAGAGTTGGAGTTAATATTTTCGTTGGCATTTGCAGAATGAGAAGGAAGAAGCTGAAGCTCGCTTCACCAAACTCAAACTCCAGGCTAAAGCCAAGATGGCTTCGCTTAACAAACAGATAAATGAGCTAAAAGGAGAAGCAGGATCAGCGGTCAGTCAGATATTTACGATCCTTTCACTCAAACTTTTAGATTTGTTCCTCTGGTTGTTTTAGCTGCATCTCTTCTTAGCTCCGTTTTGTCTCCAGCAGAGTGCGGACAGCTCGTTTACTGCTGCTGGGGCAGCGGTCGAGCAGGAGCTTCAGGACCTCAGAGCCAAGCTGAGTGAGGAGGAGGCCAACAGCCGGGAGCTGAAGGAGCGACTCGTGGCGTCTGAACAGCTGCTCCAAGAGAAGGAGGCAGCCCACGCCGAGCAGGTGACGATCCTTTAATTACTAGAACGAGCTCGGCTTTCCAGGTGTAACAAGGTTCTAATTAGTTTGATTTGGATTGATCTTTCTGTTGAAAGCTGCGGGTGCTGCAGGCGGTCGTCGCTGAGAAGGACGTCCGTTTCCAGGAGCAGATTCAGAGACATGAAGAGGAGCTGCTGAAGGTCAGCGCTCAGTCGCAGGACGGCGCTGAGCTGCAGCAGGTACAGCTTCCAGCTTCGGCACAGTTCACATGAGCCTTATTTAAAAAAAAAACACTTTCCTCTGACAAACCTGTTCAGCATGGGCAAAGTTTTACCAGCGTAACGCCTTAAAGGCTGGTTAGCCTCCCGCAGCAGTGTGTCGCAGATAATTTTTGATCACCTGTGTTGAGTTTTAAAAACATAAAGCTTGTATTTCTACCTGCTCCAGGCGCTGCAGGCATCTCAGCAGCGCTGCACTGAGCTGGAGGAGGCTTTAAACTCTCGCTCACAAGAGCTGGAAATGCTGCAGCAGGAAGTGAGCAGCGCTGATCAACAAAAGCAGGTAGAGATCCTGGATCGACTCTTTAGGATAAAATATATCTGGACGTTTTATTGTGTACAAATCATGTGCTATTTGTCCTTCTTCCAGATCTTGACGGCTCAGTTCCGGCAGATGGAGCAGGAGCTGACTGAGGCTGTAAGGCTGAGGCAGGAGTGGGCTGAGCAGGCCAGCCGGGGGGAAGCAGAGCTCGCCACCCTCAGAGCCAGCCTGGAGGCTCTGGAGAAGGAGAGGATGGAGGCAGGGAGGCAGGAGAGCGAGCTGACCACCCTGAGGGAGACAGCGCTCCTCAGTCAGCAGGACTTGGAGAAGGAGAGGATGGAGGTGTCCAGGTTGGAGGCAGAGCTGGCTCAGATGAAAGAAGCCGAGCTAGCAGCCGCCCAAGCGCACAGCGAGGCTTCGGGGAGAGACGAGGCGGAAATCGCACAGCTTCAAAGCGAAATTGCGTCACTTAGAGAAGCAGATTCTGCAAATAGCCAGGCCAGGGAGGAAACCTTAGAGCAAGAGAGGTCAGAGGTCAATAACCTGAAGAAAGAGCTGGAAGGCATGCAGAAGAAGCAGGAGACTCTGGATGAAATCTGGAGACGTCTTTGTTCACTTTCTCCTGAAACGATGCCAGAGGATATCCCAGACCCTGCTGAGCCCTCTCTGCTCCTGGACGCCGTGCGATCCGTAGAGACGCGCCTGACGACGCTGATGGAGGAAAGCAGGGAAAGGAGCGAGCAGTGTTCCCAGCTCACCCAAAGCATGGAGGCCCTGCAGGGTGAGAAGCTTTCCTCTGAAAATCTCATACACCTGAAGTTTTACCTAAAGATGAAAGTATTGATCAATTTAAACGTCTCATTTCCAGAACAACTTCACCTAAAAACAGCAGAACAAGAGGAGGCCAGGGTCAGGATACAGCAGCTGGAGCAGCACATGGAAGAAGTCAGTATTTAATCAGGATCTTTCTTTCTTTCTTGCTTTCACACTTTTTTTTTTTACATGCCTTCACTCTTTCACTCTTTTTTTCACACATTCACTCTACCTTTCACACTTTGACTCTTTCACACTTTGACTCTTTCACACTTTGACTCTTTCACCCTTTTACTTTTTCTTCATACTTTTACACTTTTATACTTTTACTCTTTGTTTCACACGTTCGCTCTTTCTTTCACGCTTTCACTCTACCTTTCACACTTTGACTCTTTCACACTTTGACTCTTTCACACTTTGACTCTTTCACACTTTGACTCTTTCACCCTTTTACTTTTTCTTCATACTTTTACTCTTTTACACTTTTACTCTTTGTTTCACACTTTCGCTCTTTCTTTTACACTTTATTTCTTTCACTCTTTCTCACTTTAACTCTTTCTGACGTTAACTCTTTCACTCTCTCTCACTTTCACTCTTTTTTTATTTCACTCTTTCACACTTTCACTCTTCCTTTGACACTTTCACTCTTTATTTCTCACTATTACTCTTTCTCACTTTCACTCCTTCACACTTTCACCCTTTCACTCGTTCTTTCGCACTTTCACTACCTTTCACGCTTTCACTCTCTCTCACTTTCACTCTTTCAAACTTTCACTCTTTCAAACTTTCACTCTTTCACACTTTCACTCTTTCAAACTTTCACTCTTTCACACTTTCACTCTTTATTTCTCTCTCACTTTCACTCTTTCAAACTTTCACTCTTTCACAGTTTCACTCTTTCACACTTTCACTCTTTCAATCTTTCACACTTTCACTCTTTCACACTTTCACTCTTTATTTCTCTCTCACTTTCACTCTTTCTAACTTTCACTCTTTCACACTTTCACTCTTTCAAACTTTCACTCTTTCTCACTTTTACTCTTTCAAACTTTCACTCTTTCTCACTTTTACTCTTTCTTTCTCACTTTTACTCTTTCTCAGTTGTACTCTTTATTTCTCACTTGCACTGTTTCACTCTTTCTTTTACACTTTTCATATTTTTCATTTAAAATGATACGGACCTGCAGCCTTTATTTCTTAGCCACTGGATGCTGGTTAGAAAGGTTAAGGAAAAGAGGCCTCTAGAACGTTGCGCTATAGTGTCTGATCATACTCTGCAAAGGAGGTCAAAGGGCGCATGGGTTCTTTTTAGGGCTGAAACAATTGATAAGATTAATCGATTATTGAAATAATCGTTAACTAATTCAATAATGGATTAATCGTTAATTGGAATATAAAGTCTGTAAAACATGCCTCTAGCTGAGGAGCGACCCACTTAGAGCAGTAATTATATCAAATTTGTAAAAAAAATATCTAAACATTTTGCATTTAAGATGAGGAAAGAAAAAATGTCTGTCAATCTGCTCTATCCAGAACTCCTTAAGTGGAAAAGTTTTAGTTTTACCTGGTTTAATCTTTCAAGGAACCTTTGGCTATCTGATTATTAATCCATCGATTGGGAAAATAATCGACAGATTCATCGATTTGCAAAATAACTGTTAGTTGCAGCCCTAGTTCTGTCCTCTCGCTTTAGGGTCACAGCTTTAGTCTGGTCGGGTGATCGGCAGCCGTCTAATACGGGACGGAGTCTGTCTGCCTTCACGGCGCAGACGATGCTCCGGCTCAGAGGGAGGAAGCATATTTAATCCCTTCTTCTCTCTGAGCCGACCTTCACCTTAACCCACAGACACATGAGTCACTGTGGTGATGGATTTAAACAGGAGAAAATGTCAAACATAATCCTCATCATGCATTGTATTTATTTACATTTTATTCTAATGCCTTCTTCTACATCTTGGCTAATAATAAACATCCTTATGTCGATTTCTTATTTAAGTTAACATTTTTTTTTAAATCTTATTCTGCATTGGTTAATTTTTATCGTGAAAATTTACATCCTGTTTTTCTTTTTTTCTCAGATGTCAAACACAAATCTGCCTCAAACTTCAGTGGATTCATCTGAAGCTGAAAAAAGTAAGTTTGTTTATTATTTATAATTATCTAACAGACAGATAAAGAATTTGAGCAAAAATAGAACCGTTTTTTTTTTTTAAATTGATGAATCGTTTCTACTTTAATTGGTCTAAAATAAAATAAAAATCCTTTATTTGTTGTGTCATTTGTTTATTTTAACCTTTTTACACCACCATACGATTTGATTCGATTAATCGGTTAATTTATTTATTTTTTTTTACACCTTACAGGCTAAACAAAGTTTCAAGTTTAAAATAAATCAATGAAAGCGTTAGGCATTTTCTTTTTTAGTAGAAGTAGAAAAGTTGCATCAAAAAATACTGCAAAAATACTGCAGAAAATCAGTGCAATGAGTGCAATGCAATACCTCTGCTCCAGGCGCCCCCGCCCCCTCCACAGTCCCTAACCCTAACCCCCTCTCCCTAATTGTAGCTGACCGCAGACAGGAGGCCGGCTTGTTTTGTTTTTATGACAGAAATTGCAGAAAACAACTCGTGAAGTTTGACCCGCTAGAAGAGCGAGGTGCGCGAGAACGCTGGGACCCTTTTTCCAGCTGAATCTCCGCTCTTTTTGGCCCTCATGTCCCTTCGTCGTCGGACTAAACTCGCCCCCACTTCCTCTCCGCCTCGGCCGTATCTAGACCCACAGCGTGTAGCACAGACCACGCTTCAATATTGAGCATAAATCAAAAATGTCTGTGTCAAGCTCACTGCAACACACTGCTGTAAGAGTATAACCAGGAAGCGAGGTAGGAGGGCAAAATAGGTTTAGCGCCACCGCAGCACGGGAGGGAGAATTACGCCCAGGAGCAAATGGATAAAAATAGGCCGGAGGAAAAAAAAAAAAACATGAATCGATTCTCTTGTGGAAGTGTTGATGCATTGGATCGTCGGCTGTTTGATCGATGCATCGATACAAAACGATTATTATTTACACCCCTACGACCCGCTAATTTTTATTTTGTCTCGTCTCGTTAAAAACTCCTTAAAGGAATAGTACACCCAAAACATGATTAGCCTTCATTTTCTACTCACCCCCATGCTGAACAACACTCTGGAGTACTTTTTTGATATCTCAAATGCATCTGGAGATCTGGGAGGCTTCTTGCTGTCTGCTGACATTCAAATAATGGAGGTCTATGGCGCCCGAGGCAGAAAGGTCCATAAAAGTCCACAAAAAACGTGTCAATATTCCTCCATACTGCTCGTCCAATGTATTCCAAGTGTCCTGAGTGGGTAGCGTCCAGAATTTACTCGAAACGAAGTCATTTAGAATGTTTTTAGAGCATAAACAGTAGTGTATAGGATTTCCTGAAAGTGCGCACCTGCGCGTTCATGACGCTACGGAAGCCAGCAGACCAAACCAGACGAAAGTGCGCATTCAGCGTCTGCTCTGCCAATAATGCAAGCGTAGAAGAAGAAATGTGCTGTTTACCTGTGCAAAGAAAGAAACGACGAAAGAAAAATGTCTGAGGACTTCAGTGTTGAGGAAGAGCATGAGTTCTTTGCCGAGCTGAATGCGCACTTTCATCTGGTTTGGTCTGCCGCGGTTTCCGTAGACTCGTGAACGCGCTTTCAGGAAATCCTATACACTACTGTTTATGCTCTAAAAACATTCTAAATGACTTCGTTTCGAGTAAATTGTGGATGCTACCCACTCAGGACACTTGGAATACATTGGACGAGCAGTATGGAGGAATATTGACACGTTTTTTGTGGACTTTTATGGACCTTTCTGCCTCGGGCACCATAGACCTCCATTATTTGAATGTCAGCAGACAGCAAGAAGCCTCCCAGATCTCCAGATGCATTTGAGATATCAAAAAAGTACTCCAGAGTGTTGTTCAGCATGGGGGTGAGTAGAAAATGAAGGCTAATCATGTTTTGGGTGTACTATACCTTTAAAAACTCATTATCGTCATGAAAAAAAAGTGAGTCGATGAAATGATTTCATCATCCTCATCATAAAAGAAAACAAAACTGGATGAGGAGGAACTTATTAACTTTCTAATTTTCGGCTCCATGCATTTAAAGCAATTTGAGACAATTAACATAATTTATTCTGTTGTTCGATTCAGATTAAAAGCCCCCCTCTACTCTAACATTCATGTTTTTTGTTTTGTCTCCAACTTCTGCAGCACACATATTGGCGCTGGAGCAGCAGCTTGCAGAAAAAGAGAGCGAGCTGGCTGCCCTGCGTGGAGAAGCAGAGGATGAGGAAGTGACAACAGCTCCTGCTGAAGACGCACCAGATGAAGAAAGCACCTTAGTTGCAGAGGACACCTCTGTCCTCTCCATTCCTGCTGATAACGAGAGCAGCCCAGAGCTCATCGGACCCCAGTCTGAGTCTCCCGAAGAATCAAAAGGAACCTCCTCAGATGAGATGGTCACCAGCACTGATTCAGAGGTTGCCCACAGCAGCTGGACTCTCCTGGAGGCCATGAACCAAGACGGAGCTCAGGAGTGGCCCTCCGTGTCTCAGGACGTCGGTCAGTCCTGGGTGGCAACCAGCATGGAGCAGGAAGCCTCCACAGTCCGAACAGAGTCGTCCTCCGTTGTCATCAGAGAGACGGTCCAAGTTCACCTGACCCAGCAGGGTTCCTCCTCTGCCGATTCAAACATGTCTGTCTTTGCTCAGGCTTTGGCTGAGGAGCTGCAGAAAAGGTACAGCGAACTCCTGGCAGAGCTGCAGAGGCTTAGAGAGACAGCCGAGGCGTCGCAGGAGAGAATCCAGAGCCTGGAAGAGGAAGCTCGGTCCCTCACTGAGGCCAAAGAAGAGGCAGAGGCTGAAGCGCTGCGGTTATCCAAAGAGCTCCAGTCAAACCAGGAAAATGGCAGCATAGTGGTGAAACAGAGAGTCGACATCAAACTCCTAGAAGAGGAGTTGGAGATTTTAAGCAACGAAAAAAGAAGCAGGGAGCAGAAGATTGAGGCTTTACAGGAAGACCTGGAAACAACGAAGCGGGTTCTGTGTGAGCAGGAAGGTGAGGCGCGCATGCTGAGCGCTCAGCTGGAGGACAGAGAGCTCCTTTCCTCCGAGCTACAGAGGAGGCTTCAGGAAATGGAGAACAGCTTGTTGGAACAAACTCAGACCTCAGATCTGCACAGCGAGTCGTTATTAAAGAAGGACTCGGAGATTCAAGAGCTACAGCTTCTGTTCACCCAGAAAGAAAAGGAGCTGCTGGAGCTTAATGACAGCATGTCCACAAAACTGCTCGGAGCAGAAGAAGAGATGTTTAAGATGAAAGGGGAAGTGAGTAAACTGAAGGAGCATATAGAAGAGCTGGAGAAGGTCAGAGATGACAAAAATCAGGCATCAGGCGAGGAAGAAGAGCTGGCTGGCTTAAGGAAAGAGAAGGAAGAGGTGGAAACGCAGCTGGCGAACACAAAGAAGAAGCTGCAGGCAGCACTGGTGCAACGCAAGGAGCTGATGAAGAAAGTCAACGAGTTTGAGAAGGAAGCAAAAAGGTGGAAAGAAAAGGATGAATCGGAGACAGAAGAAGCTCCTGAAAATCTCCCTCAAAGACCAGAGATCCAGAACTTGGAGGCAAAGATCAGGAAGCTAGAAGAAGATTTAAGATCTAAAGATCAGGAAGTGGGGAGTCTGGAGCAGAGACTTAGCCACCAGGATCAAGTCCTGGCTGAGACACTTACTCTGAACAGAAAGCTGAGTGAAGAAGGTGGAACGGCTCCACAGCCTCCAGAAAATGCAGCCTTACAGTCCCAGGTCACCTCTCTGGAAGCTGAGTGTGAAACACTCCAGAAGAAGGTTCAGGAAGCCCAAGAGTCCCGCAAAGAAACCATCCGCAAGGCCAAGGAGAAAGACCGGCACCACCGCGAACAGATGAAGCAACAGAAGGAGGACTTCAACGAGCTGATGGAGCGCTTCGAGGCGCAGAGCGGAGAGCGGGAAGGTCTCCTGGACAAGCTGAGAGAACTGGAGGAAAAGGTGAGCTCAGGAGGAGATCCACGTCCCGAAGCGGCTCCGACTCCCGTTACAAACGACTGGGTCCAAGAGGACTGGGTGGACTTTGTTGCAACGGAGACGGATTCATTGAAACCACAAGCAGGCGATCCGGATCAGCCCCCGTCAGAGCCGTCTCCTGCTGTATCTGAGCCGCTGGAGGAGTCGCTCCAAGCTCTCAAAGCCGAGATCCAAAACGTTCGGCACGCAAACTCCGAGTTGGAGAAACAGCTTCAGGAAGCTCATAGCGTTTTGTCGCTGAGGGAGTCTGAGATACTGGAACTGGGTAAAGAGCTGGAAGCACTGAGGGAGAAGGAAAACCAGATCCACGCCCTCTCCGAGGAGATGAGTGAACTTCAAGAAAAGTATCGCCAAGCTGAGGCCTACACAGAAACCCTAAAGGCGGAGATGGAAGCTGCATCCAAAGCCGCTGCAGAATCATCCATGAAAACTCTTCAGGCCGAAGTGGAAGAGTTCAAGCAGTTCCTGGACAACAAGAACCAGGAGATAACCGAGCTCAGCGTGCAGCTCAGCGAGCAGAACTCCCTTATTCGCTCAATGCAGGACGCTGTATCTGAGAAAGACCTGTCCATTAGTTCCTTACAGGAGCAGCTGAAGGCAGAGAAAGAGAAAACACTGAAGCTGGAAGCTGAGCTTCCACAGAAACAGGAAGACCACGGCGAGGCGAAGCTCAAGGAGCTTCAGCGAAAGCTGCAGGCTGCTCTGGTGTCTCGCAAAGAGGCTCTCAAAGAAAACAAGACGCTGAAGGAGCAGCTCGCTTCAGCCGAGAAGATGGCAGCTGAGCTGCAGCAGAAGATGGACTCAACAGCAGAAGAGCTGGAGAATTTAAGAAGCGAGAGAGCAAGACTGATTGAGGAGGTGGACCGGACGTTAGTGGAGAACCAAAGTCTGGGGTCGTCATGTGAGAGCCTGAAGCTGGCGATGGACGGCTTAATCAGCGAGAAGGACGCCTGTAAGAAGGAAGGGGAGCTGGCGAAGGAGGAGGCAGCTAGGAGGTGTAGGGAGTGGGAGGACAAAGTCCAAGGAATGAAGGAGGAGTACGAGACTCTGCTTAAGTCGTACGAGAACGTGAGCGACGAAGCGGAGCGAGTGAGGAGGGTCCTGGAAGCCGCCAGGCAGGAGAGACAGGAGCTGGCAGCCAAGGTGAGAGCTCAGGAAGCCGCCAAGCAGGAGTCTGAGAAGCAAGTGGAGGAAGCGCAGAAAGAGCTGGACTCTGTGAAGGACAAGATGAGAAAGTTCGTAAAGACGAAGCAGCAAAAGATACTGGAGTTGGAAGAGGAGAACGAGAGACTCCGGGAGATGCAAGAAAGGTCCGCTTCGAAACAGGAAGACGGCGGCTTCAGAGCTGAAACGGAGCGCTTTCAGGAGGAGAACGGAGCTCTGCGGGCTGAACTGGAAGCTGCCACGGCAGAAAGAGACGCTTTGAGGCGGCAGATCGAGGAGCTGAAGGAACAACTCGCTGACATGGAGGAGAAACACAAAGAAGTCGACCCGCTGCCCTCTGCGGCTGTCGTAGAGGAGGTCGTTACAGAGCTGACATCGGACGCTGTCACGACTGCAGCAGAGCCTCCAGGCGATCGCACGGATGTGGAAGAAAAGGAGGCAGAAGAAATGCCTGAGAAAGCTCAGAGTTTATTGGAGGATAAAATGAGGGAGATTGAGAGTCTGAATGCAGAGAGGGAACTTTGGCGAAAACGGGAAGCTGAGCTACAAACCGAACTGGCCTCTCTGGAGAGAGAGCTGAAGGAGAGCAAAGCCGACGAGACGCTTCTGGCTTCCTTAGAAAAGGACCTTCAAGAGAGCAAGGAGAGAGAGAAACATCTGACTGAGGAAGCTTCGAAGAGGGAAGCCCAGTTCAAAGAACTCCTTGGAAGTCTGGAAGCTGAAAAAGACAACCTGGAGGAGCGTCTGATGAACCAGCTTGCCCAGCTCAACGGGAGCATCGCCACGTACCAGCAGGAAGCAGCGGACCACCGGGAACGCCTCGCCGAGATGCAGCAGGAGGCAGAGAGGCTGCTGGGGGAGCGGTCTGAGCTGGAGGCAGAGGTTCAGCGGGAGAGAGACCGAGCCGCCAGGCTGGAGGAGGACATGAGGCAGGCCAGGCGAGAGAGAGCCGAAGCAGAGGCCGAGTCCGGCAAGCAGAGGGAGCTGGAGCAGCAGCTGAGGTCCGCCCAGAGGGTCAAAGAGGGCAGCCAGAGCCGAGCCAAGCAGCTGGAGCAGCTGCTGAGGGAGAAGCAGCTGGAGGTGCGGCAGCTGCAGAGGGACTCCATCCAGTACCAGGAGACCATCAGCCAGCTTGGAAGAGAAGCTAAAGCCCTGCAGCTCAGCCAGGAGGAGCTCCAAGGCAAGCTGGAGGAGTCAAAGCAGCAGAGCTCCAGAACTCTAGAAGATCTGAGGAGGACTGAAGCGGAGCTGGAGAGCTTCAAATCCCAACTAGCTGAGGCGCAGAAAGAGGCGAGCGAGGCGGCCGCCGCAAGAACAGCCATGGAAGAAAGCATCCAGCAGCGGGAGGCCGCGCTGAAGGCCGAGGCGGAGCAAACTCTGGACTCTGTGAGATTCAGACTGGGAGCTGAGCTGAAGGAGATGGAGCTCAGATTGGATGAGGCCTACGCAGAGCGGGAGAAGGAGGAGGAAGCCACGCTGCAAGCCAGAGAGGCGGCCGAGGCTGCGGAGAGGCGAGCTCAGGAAAGCCAAGCTCGTCTGGACGAGTCCCTGGCCCGGTTAGCCGCCTTCTCCCGCAGCATGTCCTCCCTGCAAGACGACAGGGACCGAGTTCTGGATGAAACCCGGCAGTGGGAGACCCGCTTTAACAGCGCTCTGCAGGGGAAGGAGGCCGAGGTCCGCCAGGCCGAAACGCGGGCCAAGGAACTGGCCGACCAGCTTCAGAAAGAGACGGCGCTGAAAGAGGAGCTGGGACAAACGGTAAAAAGGTAAAAAGGCTTTCTTTAGATTTGTCTTCCTAGAACTCCAGACACAAATTAAAAATATTTCTCATCCTTAGATTGCAGAAAGCAGAACAGGATTGCCAGCAGAGATTGGAAGAAGAAGAAAAGAAGGTGATAGAACATCAAAGTATCCTGGAGCAGGAAAGAGCTAAACTCCAGCAAACCACTTCAGAGCTGGCTTCTGCTCAGAGCGAAGCCAGCAGCCTCAAAAACGAGCTGGAGAGTCTGGGTCAGAGAGCCCGGGCTCTGGAGGAGGCCGTCGGGAAACTGACAGGAGAAGTGGACCGAGCCAGAGCCGAGCTGAGGGAACGGGAGGCCGAAGAGAGGCGCCTGTGTCTGAACGTGGAGCAGCTGGAGACGGACCTGCGTTCCTCCAAGGTTCTGACTGAGAGCTTACAGTCAGAGTTACAGGAGAAGGAAAGGAGAGAAGTGGAGCTGCTGGGAGAAAAGGAGCAAGCCGTCACTCAGGTTTATATCAGTTCATATTAAATCCGCCCATCGAAGCCTTAACTGCACGTCCCCTTTTTAAATCCTGTTTCTGTGTTTAATTTACCCCCAAGGCAGCAGAGGAGGCCCGGAAAGAGGCTGACGGCAGGGCACGAGATGCTGAGACGGAGCTGCAGCAGAGACGAGGAGAAGTGAGAGATCTGGAAGAGAAAGTACGGAAAGCAGAGGAGGAGAGCAGCACCTGGAAAGCCAAACTGGACTCCTTCACCAAGGCCATGGGCTCCTTGCAGGACGACAGAGACCGAGTGCTCAACATGTACAAACAGCTGGAGGAGAAACACCTACAGGTAGATCTAATTCACCGAAACAAAGGAGTTGTTAATAGGACTGAACAGCAACACTGCAAAAAATATAAATCTAAATAAGTCATCTTTTCTTGAAATAAGTGCATTTTGTCTCGTATTGAGGAGGTAAGTGAGACTCTTTGCCAATGGAAAAAGACAATTTACATTTAAAATAAGAAAAAAAAACTATAACATTGTCTATTTCTAGTACAAATATTTAATTATTTTACCGTATTTTCACGACCATAAGGCGCACCGTACTAAAAGGCGCAGTCTCAGTCATGTGTGCCATTACTGTATTTAACACACACATAAGGCGCACCGGATTATAGGGCGCGTGTTTTATATACCGTTACATGTCCTCTACTATGTTACCTCTACTGCGTATTTAAAAATAGAGTGGGAGCAAAACTGAGTATGTTTGTGCTTTATTCATGTATTTATTACAAAGTATTAATCAAACCCATCAAAGTCATCATCCTCTATTTCTGAATTAAACAGCTGCGCTAAATCAGACATGCCAATTTCCCCTTCTTCGCTGTCAGAGTCACTTTCTGTGCCGGGCGGCTCCTCAGAAATGATGCCGGCTTTTGCTTAAGCGTTCATTTCTTTCCCCATGTTTTTCACATCGGCTGTGAGATGGGCACGCATGGAGTCACAGATTAACGGCGATGGTGATGCGTGGAAAAAAACACCTGGTCTCCTTACATTCACCTCCCTCAGCCACTCTTTCATCATCTCCTCATCCATCCAGCCCTTTTCATTTGCCTTAATAACGACTCCAGCTGGAAAAGTCTCTTTAGGCAAAGTCTTTCGCTTAAAAATCACCATAGGCGGCAGTTTCTGTCCATTTGCCTTTTCATACCCCGTTGTGTGTATCGCTACAGTGCTGTTCCCCTTCTTCTCCACCATGTGATTCACTGGGATGTCGAAAGTGAGCGGCACCTCGTCCATGTTGGTGATGTGGCTTGGCTGGATGCGTTTGTCGGCGATGTGTTTGCTGCAGTAGGAGTGGAAGCTCGGCAGCTTTTCATTATAATCCGCCGGGCATTGCTGAGCTACTGTAGTCCTGGTCCCGATGGAAAAATTGCACCGTTTCATAAAACAAATTCATTAATCTTGAATTCTCTCACGGCTGCGCGATTTCCATGTTCCTCTGCGTAGCTGATAGCCTTCAGTTTAAACTGTGCTTCATAGGCATGTCTCTTTGCCATTTTCAGGGTTGTTAAGACAACAATGTTCTGCATAAAACACATACCTGTTCTTTTATACACAATCCACGCCCACACTTCCCCCTTTAACGTTCTCATGGCGGTCTCAACAACATCCGCAGTAACACATAGGGCGCGCCACACATTTTGAGGGGAAAAAAAGACGTTTATATGCGCCTTATAGTCACGAAAATACGGTATTTGAAGAGTAAAAGTACTCTTTCCATTGGCAAATCATCTTATTAAACTACTCAAATTAGGGGTAAATACACTTAATTTAAGGTTTATTTTACTTGTTTCTAGAGTGTTTTTGCAGTGAACAGGAGAATAGATGTACTCCTGCTTGATTCAGGCTTAAATTTTAATTTTAAATTTAGATTTTTCTTTGGATTTCTTGGAAATAAACAAAGATAAACTGATTAAGTCACCCTTAATTTAAGCAGGTAAATAAGATGATATGCGAATACAGTATTTTTGCCCTTTAAATACAATAATTAGATTTAATGCATTTGAAACATGATAATGGATGTTTTTTTTTTCTTTTTGTTTTTATACTTTAGGTTTATTGAATGTGTTTCATTTATCAATCACATACAGAACACAGAACGGAACCACTGTCAACAAGAAGAATTACATTCTGACAAAGATGAACAGATACAGGATGAAAACAGCAAACAAATTTAAATTTCAATCTTGGGATTTTTGAGCAGCTTTTAAAGTGACAGTATAAGTGACCTGATCAGTTATTGTTTTCTAGAAATCTAGTCCATTTGCTCCATCTCTTTTTATAAAGATCTGATTGCAGGCTCAGTATAAATGTTAACTTTTCCATTTTGTGGGTTTCATCCACCAGTTCCAGCCAGTTCTTTATCGTTGGTGGGTCAGGTTGAAGCCATTTCCGAGTGATGAGTTTTTTGCCTGTAGCACTGAAGATTTTTAGTAAATATTTGTCACTCATATTCAAACTCTCAGGAACGGCTCTGAGCAATGAGAACATGGTAGGTTGTTGGAGTTTAAGATCCATGATTGTTTGAACATTCTCCAAAACGTCTTTCCAATAAGACTTGATCTTTATGCAGGACCAGAAAATATGAGAGTGATTTGCCTCTTTGTCCCCGCATCCTCTCCATCATTTAGAAGCGTTCGGGTTTCCATGAAACCGCTGCTTCGGTGTCCTAAAAAAACGTAACAAGTTTTTTCAACTGAACTCACGCCAATAGTTTGAGGAGGAGGTTGAAGCAGCAGATTCACACATATTGTCCCATTGTTCTTGTGATATTTCAGTATTCAACTCATCCTCCCATCTTTTCCTAATGTAATCTGTTGACACTCCTTTGGATCTCAACAATCCCTGATAAAGTTTGGAGATGGTAATTTTGCCAGGCTTTGAGTAAGTTTGTCAAATCAAGAGAATTATCTCGTTAGATTTTTTTCTTATTTTAAATGTAAATCATCTTATTTCACTGGTAAACTCTCCTACTTAGCTGCTCAAGTATTTAAAAATGTTCTCATAGTAAAGAGTTTGCAGTGCTCTTAAACATGGAGCTCATCACCAGAATGAAAAGTTGCAATAAATCTATAAAATGTTTGGTTTTATCCATTTTCTAGCAGTGAACTGTTGATAAACGTTGAAATCCGTGGCTTTTTATGGTCTGGAAATGGCAGCTATCCAGGGCAGCGTTAGAAAGGGGTTTGATTCGGTTTTCCTAATTATTTAGAAAGTTATTTTAATATAATTTATAATATAAATTAAGGAATCATTGATTTGTTGCTGTAAAGATCAGGAGAGTTACTTTATTTAAATGGATGTTATTTGCATTTTGTGAGATAATCCAACAGAGCTGTGCTTTATTTGTTAAACATAATAAAAATTGTTGTTTTAAGTTTCCCAATTTGGGCTCATTTAGCAAAAAATTAAATAATTACCAAGGTTTTTTTTCAGCCAAACTGATTAAATGGTGTCTTGAGAACAGAAAATAACAAAGTCAGGAAGAAACTTCCCTGCAGCGCTTGCTTTAGTCTCATATTTATTACCTGTGCTGTCTTTCAGGTGATGTTGGAGAAGGATGGTTTGATCCAGGAGGCTGCAGGAGAAAACAACAGCCTGAAGGAAGAGCTTCGCTCTCTGCTGGCCCAGAGAGACGACATGAACGCCGAACAGGCCAAGCTGTCCGCTCAGCTTCACGGCTACCGAGATGAACTCAACCAAGTTTTAAGCATGAAGGACTCGCAGCACAAACAACTCCTGGCAGCTCAGCGAGAGCAGATCGCGTCTTTGGAGAGGGAACGCGAAGAGCTGGAATCTCAGCTGAGGGTCATGAGCAAAGCCAGAGAGGGAGAGATTAGAAAAGTAGAGACTGAGACGGTTAGTCAGGCCTCTGACGTCGTAGCAGCCTCACAGGTGATGGATGCACCTGGAGCTGAAGTGGAGAAGCTGAGGGAACAGCTGCAGGCGGAGAGAGCCCGGGCCGAGGCTTTGGAGGAGCGACTCCTCACGGAGCAGCAAGAGCATGAGAGCGAAAGCAGAGAGCTAGCCGAACTGCGGTGGGAGGGAGGCGTGATGCGGACGGAGTCGGAGAGCGCTCAGGAGAGGGTGGCAGAACTGGCCCGAGACCTGCTGATCGTGGAGCAGAGGTTGCTGGAGGAGACGGACACCACCAAGCAGCTGAGAGCCGAGAACCAGGCCTTCGCCAAGGCCATGGCCTCCCTGCAGGAGACCAGAGATGAGGCGGTGAACAAGGTCAGGGAGCTGAGCGTCAAACTGGAGGAGATGAGCAAGGCGGGAGGCCCCGCGGCACGCAGTGGCCCTGCAGGCTCAAAGGGGGAGGTGTGGGGCCTGAAGAACGCCCTGCAAGCCCTGCAGAACGACAGGGACAGACTGGTGAGCGGATAACTGCTGTAGAGCTACTTCTGATCATGAGGAGCAGCGCAGCTAATGACGGCTTCCCTTCACTCTGTTTATGTGCAGCTGGAGCAGCTGAACGCGCAGGCGGCCGAGCTGCAGAGGCAGAAGTTAGAGCTGGCTCGGCTGGGAGCGGGAGAGCTGATTAAAGTCAGCCAGGAGCTGCTGGAGGAGAAGAAGAAGAGCGAGGACATGCTGGAGGCCATGACGCAGCTGGAGAACATGATGGAGATAAGAAAGCAAGAAGCAGAATCCCTCAGGTTTCTCTTCTCCATCAGATCTTCCTTTGTTTAGCCAAGAGGTAAAGTTAGCATCTTCAGTCCGTTGACCTGTTGTGTGTTTAGGCTGGAGAGGATGGACTGGATGGCTCAGGCAGAGCAGCTGAAGCAGCAGACGCTCACCACGCTCTCAGAGAAAGACCTGCAGCTGCGGCAGCTCACCGCCATGCTGGAGGAAGCTCGAGTCCAGAAGCCCAAGCTCAAACGAGAGCAGCTGCAGAGACAAGTAGGCCTTCGTTCATCCACCGCTGTTCCACACAGCAGGAAGGAATATTTGATTTAATAAATGAGGATGATGTTTGTACGATTTTACGTCTGCAGGGCATAGAGGAAGGAGACAGTCCTCCTGGGGCCCCACAGGAGCGAAGCAATCTGTCCGTCAGCCATTCCTCTAAAGCCGAGGTCGTGGAGTTACAGCGAAGGTACTTTTTAGGAAATAAAAAGAAATAAATAGAAATAAAAAGCATTAAATAACAGAATAGATGCCAAAGTTTGTTTTCTGTGCATCAGATTAGAAGAAGAGACTCAGCAGCGGCTGGCAGTGGAGGAGCAGCTGATGGCGACGCAGGATCGCCTCAAACGGTACGAGCATCATAGTCACAGCGATTACAAATATATATAGAGATAAAAAAATGATATAAACCTGGAAATAATTTAATTTAAAATAGAAATAAGTAGAAATAGTTATTCAGTCTGACTAAAATGTTTTACAAACACATTAAATTATTAAAAAAGACATTAAATTATATTATATATCCACCAATAACTAATAAAAGAATATAAACCTCATCATTAATTATATGAAAATAAAATATTAAGTTATAATAATAACTAAAAATAACTAATTTTCTAATAGTTGAACCCAAATTAGGACAATTTATCAATTAATAATAAATGTAATGTAATAAAATAATCAGCGTTCACTTAAACTTAATTTATAATAAACTAATTTTTATTGTTTCTTCTAGTGGAAGATTTTAACAAAGTTCTATAAATTTAAATACCATTGAAAAAGAGGAGGAACGTAATGAAATAAGCTTTACGATGCAGCTGATTGGTGAGCTGTCATTTTTTTTAGAGGCCTGATGCCACCAAGCTGGTGATCCCTGATTTCAATCAGACGTTAAGAAATATATTATACAACAAATAAATGACATTTTGAGCATTTTATTTTTATACTAATACCAGAAAAAATAAAAAAAAACTATCCACTCGACTTTTTTTTCGAAGTTTGAAGACGTTTCTCTTCCTTCCAGGAAGCTTTTTCAATTCAAAATGTCAGAAATAGTGTTTAGTTCCAGCTTTTATCCAGCAGCCCAACAAAGCCTGGTTTTTGTTTAGAAAACATGCAAATTGAACCAGATGAACGGGTCCACCCCTTTGGAATGTTGGTCGTTTAGCTTCTTTGTTAGCCTGCAATGCCCCATACCTGTCTATGTCTCTGAAAGGGGGGCTGTTAAAGGGAATTGTTGGCCTGGCTGAACAGGTGAGGTCTTCTGCTCTCCTGTACAGGGGTTGGGTCTGCGATGATAGCAGGAAGGGATTAACTATAGACTTATACTAATAGAAAACAAACAAAAAGAATGCAGAAAATCTAACAGGAAGACAGTCATCAGCTACCTCTACTCTCTGCCTCGTGTTCATTTTCTTGTTTCAATTCATTTCAGTTTATTTCTATAGCGCCAATTCACAACATGTCATCTGAAGGCACTTTAAAGTTCACCAGATCATCAAGTCAGATTGATTCAAAGTTTTCTATCTAAGGAAAATGAGTTGATTGCATCGACTCATTGACTCTTCAGCAATCCCTCACATTAAGCATGCTTGTAGCGACAGTGGAGAGGAAAAACTCCCTTTGAACAGGAAGAAACCTCCAGCAGAACCAGGCTCAGTGTGAGCGGCCATCTGCTGAGGCCCACTGGGGTTCAAGGAGACAGAAGCAGACGTAGAAAAAGAAGCATAGATACAAAAGGCAACTGTCAACCAGCTCCACAGGCGGCCCCATCCAGGAAACACACAGCCAGGCAGACGAGCTCCGAGCCAGCTCCCATGTCAGAGGATTAAGAGAGCACATCCAGTTAGTCACAGTCAGAGAAACAGGACTACACTGGAAAACAGGCCAAGCTCCAACATCTAGAAACAAAGGTGTTAATGGTAGCAGCACAGCTGATATTTCTCAGCCAAACAGGAACAGACCAGATGAAGCTACTATGAGAAAAAGCAGAGAGAGCAGAACGTTAGAGATTGAACTAACAGATTCTGCAGAGTGGGAGAATAGAGATAGAATGAAGCAGAATGATGAAAAAGGGGTCCCTATGTCCTCCAGCAGTCTAGGCCTATAGCAGCAGAACTATAGAGATAGCTCAGGATAACCTGAGCCACTCTAACTAGAAGCTTTTTAAAAAGGAAAGTTTTAAACTGAAAAGATTTCCAGCCTTTTCTAAGATCAATCTGTTCTACTTATTACTTTCTAAGCATGTTGATGTTTAAACCCTCCGGCGTTAAAATCCTTCCTAAGCTGAAGGGATGAATTTCAAACGCTCCACAGGAGGGATTCTCAAAAACTTTGCTTGCAGTAGGTAATCATTTGGAGGACGAAGCGTCTCCCTGCTCTTTGTACTTTATTTAAAACTTGGAAAGAACTTTAAACCTTTTCAAAATTGTTAAATTGACCTTACATTTAGGTTTTGTTTCCAAATATTATTTTTTAACTTTTATTTCTTCTTCTATTGTATAATTTTGCCCAATCTTTAAAATCGGCTATAAAGTTCCTACATTTTTCTCTTTCCTGTTTCTTATTTTTATGTAATTTATCGTTTTAAACTCTCATCGTTTTAAAGCATTCTCAGTAATTCACCTAATGTCCATTTTTATTTATTTTATTTATTTATTTGAATAGGGACAATGCACATTAATGAACATCAGTATAAAAACAAATGTAAATATGCTGGATTATAGCTACAAAGCTAGTTTCCATCCGTAGTCCCTAGGCAGGCAAATACATAAGAAAGAACATATAACATACAATACAAGCATCACAAGGAAATGTTAAGAGTTTAGTGGTTACATGACTGGTTTGTTATTAATCCCGTCAGTCACAGCCAGGCTTCGTGGCACGCTGCAAACGACGGGGATCACTCAGAGACGGCGGTTTTCATCGAGCCGCCGGAAGGAGCAGTCACCCAGGTTAGGCTCCTCTAACATCCTGCACACCACATCTTAAAGGAATAGTACACCCAAAACATGATTAGCCTTCATTTTCTACTCACCCCCATGCTGAACAACACTCTGGAGTACTTTTTTGATATCTCAAATGCATCTGGAGATCTGGGAGGCTTCTTGCTGTCTGCTGACATTCAAATAATGGAGGTCTATCGCGCCCGAGGCAGAAAGGTCCATAAAAGTCCACAAAAAACGTGTCAATATTCCTCCATACTGCTCGTCCAATGTATTCCAAGTGTCCTGAGTGGGTAGCGTCCAGAATTTACTCGAAACGAAGTCATTTAGAATGTTTTTAGAGCATAAACAGTAGTGTATAGGATTTCCTAAAAGCGCGTTCACGAGTCTACGGAAACCGCGGCAGACCAAACCAGATGAAAGTGCGCATTCAGCGTCTGCTCTGCCGATAATGCAAGCGTAGAAGAAGAAATGTGCTGTTTACCTGTGCAAAGAAAGAAACAACGAAAGAAAAATGTCTGAGGACTTCAGTGTTGAAGAAGAGCATGAGTTCTTTGCCGAGCTGAATGCGCACTTTCGTCTGGTTTGGTCTGCCGCGGTTTCCGTAGACTCGTGAACGCGCTTTTAGGAAATCCTATACACTACTGTTTATGCTCTAAAAACATTCTAAATGACTTCGTTTCGAGTAAATTCTGGATGCTACCCACTCAGGACACTTGGAATACATTGGACGAGCAGTATGGAGGAATATTGACACGTTTTTTGTGGACTTTTATGGACCTTTCTGTCTCGGGCGCCATAGACCTCCATTATTTGAATGTCAGCAGACAGCAAGAAGCCTCCCAGATCTCCAGATGCATTTGAGATATCAAAAAAGTACTCCAGAGTGTTGTTCAGCATGGGGGTGAGTAGAAAATGAAGGCTAATCATGTTTTGGGTGTACTATACCTTTAAGAACTGTAACAATAAAGATCCATATTCTCTCAACCTCCACTAACCTGGCGTTTTACCCTCAGACCCGCAGAGGTGGCCCCAGCTTGTTACGCATGCTCCGAGTCGCCTTCTGCTCCCGCCAGCGCACCCCTCTGCTGCTCAGCCTCTACCTGCTCACTGTGCACGTCCTACTGATCCTGTGCCTGGGCGGATACCTCTGAACAAATGCTTCAAATAAGAAGGGACACGCTCATAAAGCATGGAAATGCCTCGGGATAATTCTTAATGCGAATAACTCAAAGAACGGTTTGAAGGATGTTGCACTTTACAGTAATTAATCATTTAGCCAAAGTATACACATATACAGCAGTTTGTTTCAGCTGTTCTGGTCGTTGCGTCATCATGGGAGATTTCAAGGGAGTTTTTTTTTTTTGTGTGTGTCAAACAACAAAGCACCAACCTTCACCTATAGTTCTAGATCAGCCTCCTTTTTTAGGGCTAAAGCCGCCTTCCTACACATTAAAAGAGGCTGGATAAGTTAGTTTGGGTGTCAAATGAAAAGAGACACGATCAAGTGTATTTTAGAAGTGTTTACATCATGTGCCTTTTTTAGATTCCAGCTTTGAATTCTTTAAAGTTCAAAGAAAAGTTCTAGAAAGCGACATGAATTAATTGGGATTTCATGGAATGGACCAAATGCAAAACAGAACCTGGTTGAGAAGTGGAAGGAGAACGATACACAATTTAAAAAACAACCGGAGGATTTCACCCATTTGCACTCAGCCCCACTGAGTCTTTACTTTGGCTGCTGTTTTTTTTTCTATCAGGTTTAAACATCCAGAGCTCAAAATGTACATTAGACCTACTTATTTAGGTCTGGACTTTGACTAGGCCGTTCTATCACATGGAAACAAAACCATCCTACTGTTTCTCAGCCTGTTTCTGTAGTTCTCCTCAGCCTAAAGCGTCTCATTCTTAAATTATTCCTCCCTTGCACTGTGTTTAGCTTCACCTGTCTTCCTTATGTTTAAGGGTATATCCTGTTAGCTTTTTAACTTTTTTACATATATATAGAAGCTCCTCCAGAGCTAACATCAAGATGTTTCACTAAACTCTCATCAGGTTAAGTTTGTGGCCATGTTTCGCCTTCACAGGACACTTAAAACTATAGCTAACATCGTTAGCTAGTTAGTTGGAACGTCGCACACAAGTTCAACATATTTACTCATCAGATAACTTCTAATATAAACTGATTATATTTAGAGTTTACGGAGAAACAGGAGCTAAAAACCAAGTAATGCTGCACAGTTCGGATTTTTGCTAGCATAAAATTGCGCATCGTGTTTCTTCCACTTCACAACTGAATCCTGTTCAAGTTTTCTGCTGCAATAATAATTAAAAATACTTCAAGGGGTCCAAACACCTTTGTGGAGCAGCTTAAATGACAGAAACCATCTGTGAAAGAGGAATTTGCTCACTAAATATGCTAAACTAGCTACCCTAAGCTAGCTACGGTTACCACCCTTTGCTACGCTAGCTGTTTTGAAGAAGCTGGAATATTTTTTTTAGACCAATAACTTTTCAGTTGAGCTCATGATGTGATTTTTATCTCCTGCTATCCTTGTTTTATGCACAAAAAAGTGGAGCACGGTGCAATTTTTCTGGCTTTACACATTCCTGTATCGTATCTCCTTACATTCATTATGCAGTTTGGTTGTTTTCGGGTACAGATTAATCTTTTAATGTTTGTCTAAGAAATGCATTTCACTTAATGTCCATTATCCTCTTGCTGTATTCTAACGGAGGAGGTTCTTTTTTATAAATCTGTCTCATTCCATGACCTTAGATTTTATGTAATTCCTTGTTGTGAAATATCGGTTAAATCGGCCTCCATATCTAACGTCCCTATCTAGAACACTGGGCTCTACTCGGCTACTACTCCGCTGTTACTCCCTTTAAAATCCACATTCTTTGATCTTATTCCTTCCTGTAAATACAAATAAATAAAGTGTGAAGGGCTGTAAATGGAAAATATAATGTAATCAAGGGAATAGAATCAAGGAAGGGATTCCTCTTATGTTTCTGGGTAGGATTTTGTTTACATCCTTGTTGGGATCATGGCGCCTCGAAGTCTGAACATTTATCTTTATATGATAATTATGAACTGAAAAATGAAGCTGGGGTTCGGGCCAACGGAAGATTTTTTCCAGTAAGTACTGGTGTGGATGAAACACTACAGTTGGTTTTGTTAATGGCTGTTGGGGCAGATTGTTACTGCTGACACGTTTGTGCTCAAAGCTTTTAATAAAGGATGTTTCTAAGTGGACCTGAAGTATTTTTATTTTATTTTTTTGTTAAAGGATCATACTGTCTTTAGAATTACGGATTTTTTACAGCACATTTTAATGGGAAATCCATTTTTTCCCAGTTAAAAGCATGTTTTTATTTTCTTTCTGCGCTACCTTCTCTTTAGGTTTCCAACAGGATTTAGGTCTGGAGAAGAAGAAGACACCAATGGAAGGATAATTGGTTTATATTTTGAATTAAAATCCTGTGTTTTATGTTTTTTAAAACATGGGTTCCAGGGCATATGGAATCAAACAGGCCCTCAGCATCATAAAGCCTCCACCATACTTAACAGTTGGCATGATTGTATTATTAACTTTAGTCCCTTCTCACAAAAAGTCTCAGGTTAAAATCCCAGTAGAGTCTAACTCAACAGGTTTATCTTAATGATGGTAAAACAAAAATAATTATTTTGCTGCTAAATGTAGAGATTTTCTGATGTTTTTTGTTTTTTTTTATAAGGACTTGGTGACCCCAAGCAAACTAGAGTTCTCTAATAGTAAACACAGGTTCCAGGCTACTGGGTGTGATGGTGAGATAATGCTTTAATTAAATTTTCAATGTACTTTCTATTTTTAAATAAATGTAAATAAGTAAAAATAATGTTTATCTTAGATACATTTCATGAGAATTATTTGGTGGTGACAATATTTAAAAAATTTGCTTTTCAATTTAAGGATCCTTTTTTTTCCCTTAAATTTCCAGTTTGAGGTTATGCTTTTGCAGTAAAAAAAAATATGTTTTTACACATACATACCTCCTCAGCAAGTACATTTTTTTTCTTAAAATTTAAATCTATTAACCCCCAGAACCCTACGGACCCACCGGTGGGTCCAGCTGCTACGTGACCTCGTAATTTTAACAAACCCCCAGTATTGATGTAAAAAACACAAATTTTGGCACAGTTTGGTGACATTTCTGGATAAATGTGCCAAACTGGCCCCTCCGCCTAAGAAATTTCTCACTAATACCATTCTAAAATAAATATGATTCATCTGATTGAGTCCAAATTTGGTATATTTTTACGCAACATTTAGATTTGAAAGTCTGTACTACTTTTTTGTGCTATAAATAATATTTTGGTAGTGTTTTGCAATGTTTATTTCAAAGAAAATTTTGGCGAGGTTCAGAAAATGCAAAATATTTTGTATTTTGTCTCTAATATTTCAGGCAGGGTCAAAGCTACAATGGTGCTGACACCAGAAAACCATTCTATGACATCTTACCTTTACAGACGTACCAAAAGGTTCTTCTTAAATCTAATAGCTGTGAGGCTATAAGTGATTTTCATTTTGTGTGTTTTTGTCAGGCAGAAATTTATTTATACCCCCTGAGGGTGTAAGAGGTTAAGAATTTTAATTTAAAGGGTCTGGATGTCATTTTTTGTTGTTTTGATTTTGTACAACTTAAGAAAAAGTTTACTTATTTGCACAGAATAAGTAGTTCATAGAATAAAGGTAAACATCTAAAATTTAAGACTGGTAGGTTTAAAGTTTTTAGCCTGTTATGTAGGCTACGTGATGACAAAATAATAAAATTGTATAACCACGCCCCCTAGTGGTTTAATCATATTACTACATTTAAAATCACTGCCTATCTGCGCTGCTTTTGTTGGTAAAACTTTTTTTTTTTTTAAAGCATCTATATATTAAAAAAGACACTTATTTAATGTCAAAGGTTGTAAGACTTTCGAAGAGTCCGTGAATGCACCATGCATTTTTAAATTTTATTTTTCAAGGTTAAAATTCATTTTTTGATCAAAAAAAAAAAAAACCTGAAATTAATTAATCAGGTTTTAACAATCTTGTGGAAGATAAAAAAAAATAAATAAATAAAAATCAAACTCTAAAAGTGTTTAGTTATTTTTTTTGCACCGTCGCGCGTTCCCGTTTCGTGGAGGCGCGTTCACGTGTCGCCCATCAGACCGTCTCATCTCTGAGGCTCTCAGCGCTGTTTGCTGTATTTTCCACCTTCACACATCTTAACTGCGCAGCATCTGGAAGGTAAAGTTGTTTTTCCTCTTCTACACTAACAGATTAAAACTGCAGCCATTTCTTTAAAATCTGTTTATTTTTTTGTTTCCGCCCTAATTAAGGAAGTAGCTCTATAGTAAGCCATTATACTGTTAATCCTTAACAATCAATAAATTAGAACTTAAATGTTGCCTAAATGTTATAAAACATCTGCAGAGTTTCCATGGAATATGTGAAAGTAGAGATAAATCATTAAAAAATCTGATAAACTTTTAATTTATTCCCATAAATATTTGCCTGTGGGTTATTATTTGAGGGATTTGCATGATTTAAATCTAATTTATATTAACACAGTGCTGTTTGTTTTATAATTTTATGAAAAATAAGCATGCACAGTAGAAGTGAAGCGAAGTTTCATGCTCAGTTTAACTTCCTTTTGGGGAATTTGTGGTTCCACTTTGGTCTATTTCTGCCTTCCAGCAACTTGTGACAAATGGCACACAAGCTGAGAAACAGCAGCTTTCATCTGCAACCTGAGTGTTGATCTCATCCTAACCAAGTTGTCTGGATTGCTTTGTTTTACCTCCAAAGATGTGGAAGTCAGTGGTGGGCCACAATGTGAATGTGAAGGTGGCTGCAGAGGGGGACGACTGGGAGACAGACCCTGACTTTGAGGTGCTCTAAACTTCCTGGACTGTGCATCAGCATTCTTCATGCCTATGATGGGGTGTTTCCTCGGTTAACTGTCTGTTTTACATTTCTTTCAGAATGATGTTTCAGAGCAGGAGCAGAGGTGGGGGGCCAAAACTATCGAGGGCTCTGGGCGCAAAGAGCACATCAGGTAAAAATAAACATTTATATTTCCTCTACATGATTGTGTGAAAGTGGAGAGTAAATTTATTTTAGTGGATGTTGTGTTGAAACAGGAAGAGGAAGTAAGAGCTGAACGCATGTCGTCAGACAGCGAGTCGCTCCTAATATGGGTAATACAGTCGGAGACATTTAACTTGGGTCTGAAAAAACTTTCGACCAGTTCAACATATGTTAAAGGATTACCTGGTTGACCAAAACATTTGTTCTCCTAAATAATGTTTTTACAAAGAAGCGATAAAAATATGAGAAGCAGCCAGTTCCACTGTAACTAAGGAGGAGCTGCAGAGATCCACAGCTCGGCTGGAAGAATACGTCCATGCATAAGTCCAGGCATTTGAGGAAAAGTGGAAAGAAGGAATGTTTGGGAGTCCTGCTTTTAATTTCCAACAAATCAGGAAACGACAAACATGTTGAAGAAGGTGCTTTGGTCAGATCACTTAGAAAGCATGGTGGTGGCAGCAGCATGCTTTGGGAATGCAAGGATCAAGGCAAGGCAACTTTATTTGTATAGCACAAACAATTCAATAGATGGGCAATTCAAAGTGCTTTACATGAATGGGATAATAAAATAGAAGAAAAAACAAAACAGAATAAAAATTATTTAAAATAACACGATAAAAGCAGGTAGTTTGATCACAACCTTTAAACTAATAATATCTCTGTTAACAGTTTAACTTCATCAGTCAAAGGCAGCTCTAAACTAACTTAACTCTGACTTCAATGAACTCAGGCTTTCATTTTTTCCAGTCTTCTGGGAGTTTGTTCCAGATCAGTGGCGCACTGACACGGGCGATTCTAGACAGGGGCCAACGGGGGCCAGTGCCCCTGTAGATCATGTCCTAGTGAAGACATAATACTTAAAAGAAATTAAAATGATGATCTGCGCTGGAAAAGACATACTGATAGCTGATTACTGATAGCTCCTTTTGATTCATTTTTTTTTCTTAAAAAATTCAGTTTTAATAATTATTCAAAAAACAATAAGGTGATATCTTCAGTGGTTTTGATCTGCTAAATGTTTTTCAAAACTAATAAAAAAAAATACTCTAACTTTTACAGCTGAATTTTTCAGATTTATTTGAGTTCTAATTCAGATTTTATAGAAAACTGTAATGTGACTTAAATTAAGTTCAAAATATGTACAATTCATAAATTATGAATATATACTGACCTAATATTCCAAATAATAGCTTTATTTATCTTTTAGATATTTATATAGCTTCAATTTTTTTGGTATATGCTAAGTGATTTTATTTTTTATTTGAACAATAAACCAAATGAACATTTTCAAGCCAAAAATAAATATTTTCAGTTAGTAGACATAATTTTAATTAAACCTAATTGAATGGAAATTTCACCTCATGCAGCTCTTTTGATATATTTCAATACCTTGCACTGTTTTTTCTTTCATACTTTTGTGTGCCCCCATAAAAACACTCTGGCCCCCGGTACATTTGGTCTAGAACCGCCACTGAGTATAGATGCTGCTTCTCCATGTTTGGTTCTAGTTCTGGGTGGACAGAGGAGACTGGAACTAGAAGACCTGAGTGGTCTGGGAGGTAGATCCACTGTAAACAGATCTGTTATGGATTGAGGCGCTGATCTATTCAGTGATTTCTAGACTAACAGAAGGAATTTAAAGTCTATTCTCTGAGCTACAGGGAGTCAGTGGAAAGACTTCAGAACCGAGCTGATGTGCTCTTTTTTCTAAGTTCTAGTGAGAACACGGGCAGCAGCGTTTTGGATCAGCTGCAGCTGCCTGATGGACTTTTTAGGCAAACCTGTGAAGACACTGTTGCAGTGATCGATTCTATTAAAGATAAATGCATGAAGTTTGAAAATTGGTCAGAGTTCATGAGAAGGTGAAGTGAGAAACAAAATTGTCTAAAACAGAAGCCTAGTCAAAGCCCAGACAGAAATCCAAAGGAGAGAATCCACGTTTAGAGTAGGGATGCAACTAACGATTATTTTGCAAATTGATTAATCTGTCGAGTATTTTTTTTTTTGATTAATTGATTAATAATCGAATTGCACCAGATTCCTTAAAGAAAGGAATTTTACGAAAGTAAAATGGTCCAAATGCAAAATTTTTACATGTTTTTTTTTTGTTTTAGCGGCACTAGTGGCTCGTTTT